GCAAATCTATATATAATTTAAATTAACCCTCTCCCCTTTCTAGTGTCCACCCACTTATAAACGCAGAGGCGTAGCGACCCCTCCTGGCGCCCGGGGACAAAATTTCAATTTGGCGCCCCCCCCCCCCCACTCCCCCCTTATATTTTTTATTTTTTGTAATTAAAAATAATTGCTAAAATTGGCGCCCTTAGGGTCGGCGCCCGGGGACATATGTACCCCCCCCCCCCGTCGCTACGCCTCTGTACAGGCGAGCTTCTATAAGATATCACTGTCTTCCAAACAACTAAAAAATAAATATCCGTGTAGCTTTAGAAGACAGTGCCAGATAAATATTCCAGCTTCTCGCATGTATTTCATTATGTGACAGAAACAAAGCCGAGGAGAGGTACAGAATTCTGCATGAACAAGTACAAAATGCTCCTTAGTCTTATGGTCAAACGTAAACAGTTTCTTTCAGATATATTTCTTCCAGGGGGGCGGGAGTGGTGGCCAACGACAACTTCCTCTTCTTAGGCCTGTAAGAAACACTGGAGATTATGTAGGCCAAAAACAGGCGGTGGTTGACTTTGTTTACTAAGTGTTAATTAGTTATTAGCTCAATCATATCACATGACATTTCACTAATTGTAACGTAGTTTTAAGCAGTTTGTTATACAACCATACGTGTACACAATACAGATGAAGTACTTAGGACCTGCGGTCAAAGCGCCACAGTGGACAAACCGCCGTTGATCAACGCACCTGTGATCAACCCCCAACATGATGAGCAGAGTTTCGGGGGGGGGGGGGGGTTAGTCGTGTCCCCCCTAAGAAAGTCTACCGCACCCACCCCCCCCTTTAAAGGAAATGGAATTTATATGGAAAATATATACTTTTAACAGTGTAAAAGTAAAGTAACGTTACCCTTTCAAACCTGACGGTTGTATGGGGCAAGTGAAGTAGAGTTCATTTTGTTTCTGTGACCTCGGCATATGAAGTGATAGTGTGGTCAGCACTATGCCCAGCCGCCTTTACTTTCCCCTAACGTGAGTTAGGTACCCATCAGAGTTGGGTGGACCTCAGGGACGGTCTACTGACTTTGACCTGGATTTGAATTGAGACTTCCGGGTTAGCAGTCCAGCTCTCTACCGCTAGACCATTCCGTCCCATTTTAACAGGTGTCCGCACCCCGGAAAGTTTAGTCCCACCCCCCCCCCCCCCCGAAAATTACTAGTGCCCCCCCCCCCCCCCCAGCTCACCCGGAGAAAAAAAGTCTGGAAGAAACACTGATGATGAGCTAACCACAAATGGACAAAACACCTGCGGTCTTAGCTCAGCTGTATATAAACCGCCCTCGATCAAAGCACCTTTCGTCAAAGAACATTGATCTATTTTGTACATGGGTGGGGAGGGGGTGAGAGAGAGGAGGGAATGAGGTCTGTTATTTGCTCTTAGAGGTAAGCATTACATTACATTGACCTGTATTCTTTCAGCTCATTATCTTCAGCTCATTATATTCAGCTCATTATTTTTCAGTCAATATTCTTTCTCACGTCGCTGAACATTAATGTCTACAGGCAATCAATAATCAATATAGGCGATAGATAAGGATTACCGTGTTTCAAGGTTATTATCGATTAATAACTCTATTAACACAATTCAGGGGAGGTAACACACTGATATTCAGGGGATTGAGTTATAGTTTGATATACTATAGTTATACTTAGCCAAGTCGTAAAATAATAATAATCATAAGCTACTGAAATATTTTTAAATATTGTTTTGTTACAACGAGGGCGGTTGTACGATTTGGCTGTACTGGGGGGGGGGGGGGAAGCTTAATTTTTGCTCACTCCGGGAGTACCGGATTCATTCACCAGGGGCAGTGTTTCTTCCAGACTTTTTTCTGCGGGGGGGGGGGGGGGGGGGGGCACTTGAAATTTTCGGGGGGGGGGGGGGGGGTAAGTAGACTTTCTTGGTTGGGGGGGGGGGGGCGGACACTATTAAAAGTATATATTTTCTATATCATTTTCATTTCGTTCGGGGGGGGGGGGACTGAGCCCCCCCCACCCCCGAAGAGATGCCTAGAAGAAACTCTGCCCAGGGGAGATGACGATCGCAAGCTAGTGACAGCAACCCATCTAGGAGAGACAACTCCAAATCAAACAACTGCTTCATTGTACATTGTTCTCAAGTGAACAAAGGGTCTGGAATCAAACAGAAGAAAAGCAGGCTGAAGTGAACGGCCTACATGGCGCATAACATGTTGACTCGTAGTAGGACTACTTAGTGGCGTAGCGAGGTCGGGTGTCACCCGGTGCGAAATGTAATGGTGTTCCCCCCCCCCCCTAGAGACGTAGCGACCCTTCCCAGCGCCCGGGGACAAATTTTTAATTTCCGATTTGCACCCCCCCACCCCTCAAACTTTCGATTTGCACCCCCCCTCAAACTTTCGATTTGCACCCCCATCAAATTTTCGATGTGCACCCCCCACCACCCTTGTCGGGATTTGTCAAATTTGCTCTTAAAAGACTTTTTAACACTCGAATTAATCACTTAATTATCATGGAATTATCATTTTTCTCTATATATTTTGCTATTTTTTTTGCCTTGGTGTCACCCCCCTAAATGGTGTCACCCGGTGCGGTCCCCCCCCCTCCCCGCTACGCCACTGGGACTACTTAATTGTGTTTGAAGAAATCGCATCAAGTATATCTATCTATATATATAATTCTCTCCTGGGAGCCGTTAGAAAACAAGCTGCAAGCGCCTCCTTGCAGTCCCCTCTCTTTCTCTCTATCACTATCACTACCACCCCCACCCCACTCCCACATTGTCTGGTGAGCTGTGGTCACGCTGTTTACATTTTACAATCATAGAGACGGGTTTGGTGACGGCTATTAGGGGCAGATAATTTAGTTTGAAACGATTTTAAACTTAGAGGAGGTAACTAAGAGGAGGCTGCTTTCACGTGGGGGGGGGGGGGTGGTTAGTGTTTTTAAGCAAATATTTTCAGTGGCAGCATTGGTACTGTCGAATTCACAAATTATAAATTACTGAAAAGTAGAAAAAAAAACAACTAAATAGCGGCGTATGATACGCAGCGGGTCGGCTCGTTATTATAAGTTAACTACAGAAGAACGGAGAAGAGGAAAAGAAGACGGTATTGCTGTTTATTTAAGTGCCTTGATACATTAAACGTTAATATGTGATGACAGTTGGTTCATGGTTTTTTTTTATTGATTGGATGTTACCAGAAATTCTGTTTAAAATAACTTTTAATATTTGCAAACACAAAACACACTTTTAAGTAAACCAGTTTTAAGTATTAAAGATCGAGTATTGATATTCGTGTTTTGTGTAGTTTTATGGTGCTCATAGAAAAAAAACCGGCTGGTATAAATCAGTTTCTTTCAGGCATTTTTTTTTGCAGGGACGGGGGGTACACTTGAAATCTTCGGGAGGTATTGCACTTAAATTTGTGGGGGGGGGGGGAGGAAGAGGGGAGGCGGACACGAATGAATGCATTTTCTACATGTTTTAATATTTCAATTAGGGGGGGGGGGGTAAGTTAAGGCGGACAATTTAATGAATACGATTCTTTATTTTTTTTTCTATTTCGATTGGTGGGAGGGGGGGGGGGGGGGTCCAAACAGATGCCCGAAAGAAACTTTGGCATACATCCGGATGTTGCGAAATGTGCCGATGTCTGCTACTGTTGACACGAGGGTAAGGGTTTCCTGACCACGGTGCCAGTTGGTTATTGGAAGTAACGCTTCCACCTAAAGCGTCTTCAATGACATACATATGCAGACACAAGCTTGAACGGATGAAAGCTGTTCTCAAACCATGAGTAGTTATATGACGTTTGAGATTCTTCTTCTTCGTTCTTAATTTTTAGTGTTTGGAGGGATCGAGCTTTATCTGCCAGAGGGTTTGAACTCGAGACTTTTTTCGAATTTATCAACCATGAGCTTTTGCTCACAATTAAGGATTACGTGTCAACTGGTTATGCGCCATTGAGGCCATTGACTCCGATTTCAGCCTGCTTTTCTTTATGGATTTGCTTCCATAGCCTTTGACCAACCAAGAACAAACTACAAGGCAGCAGTTGTTTGATTTTGGAGTTGTCTCTCCTAGAAGAGTGGCTGTCCCCAGCTAACGAGCCTCATCTGCCCGAGTTTGAGATTCGATTAGACAGAATTCAGCAAAGCTTATACTTATACGACGACCAATAAAGCAATCACGATTTTTAGCGCAATTTCCATAATGACAATTTTGATTATTATTTCGTTATTTCTGGATGGATGGATGGATGTGTGTCCGCAGCTTTAAGTCTTATCTCCTCCTCAACGAAGCAATATCGAGGACTAGTTCCAAAAGCAAATTTGTTAAGCAAGTTCCGAGGATGATTGTGGGCCAAGAAATTCCCGGAATTCCTTCCTGGATTTCTCGGAAAAGCAAAAAAAACCTCGAAAAAAAAAATGCAGTTTTTGGTCCATATCTCGGCAACCAGACCACTTAGCGACTTGAAACATTTACCAATCGATTCCTGCCATAATTTAGAACATTATTGCTGAAGAAAGTTTTCAAAAATATCCTTTCGTTCGGTCACAAAAAAATTAATTAAGGAAATTGCGCTTAAATTGTCACAAGACTTTTTATTAACTTGTTTAGAAGATTGCTTTTACCCTACACGTCACAAAAAAAACCCAAGTTGATCCACCCACCCGCACAACTATATTATAACCCCACCTTAAATTATATCCAAACTGTGAATTAAAACATCACCACATCCAAGTAAATTATCGCCACCAACGTCACATAGGGCTACAACTACAACGTCATTTATGGACGAACCATATCTTTTAACTTTCATTCAAGAATAAATTTAAAATTAAATCCTTCCTTGGGAATAAGAAAATGCTGTTACCTTACAATACCCATGATAAACTTTGCTTGAAACCTGTCCTTAAGCTATGCACATCATCCAAGCAAGCACCTAAATGATGCACCTAATGAACGCAATAACCTTCTGCATCTTTCTACAGTTTTGTGACCTTTAGACTTTGGAGAAACGTATCTACAGCTTAAGGTAAAGGTTAGTATCAGGTACAAAGCAATCTATATTTAGACTGACTATTTACTGCCCAATTTTATGTTGACACATTGTTGACATAGTAAAAAAAGGAAAGGTTGTTGATATTTAAACATCTGTCATTGTATGTGAATTCCCGTATACTTTGACTTCTACTTAACTAGTGACAAGTGACTAGATCTAGACTAATCTACATCTATCTGTATATCTATAGCTATACTCCATACCAATGTTAACCCGGCCTTAGCACTAGTACTAGCCACAGTTTCTTCCAGGCTCAGCCCCCCCCCCCCTCTGAAGAAAGTCTATCCCCCACCCCGAACGAAATGGAATTTATATAGAAAATACATACTTCTACCAATGTCCGCCCCACCCCTTCCCCGGAAAATGTAGTCCGCCCCCCCCCCCTTCGAAAAAATCAAGTGCCGCCCCCCCCCCCTTCCGGAGAAAAAAGTCTGAAAAAAAAACACTGGTACTAGCCTCGGTGAGGTTCAGTCATAACCCATTTTCTAATGGACCCCAGTCTCGAAGGATCCTTTGAATATAAGAAAAATCGAATACGGTGGTATTAAAATAAATGTTGGTATAAAAACTTGATTGCGTGGTTTTGTTGGACTTCTACTGATGATTGGAAGTATTTGAATTTTTAGTGTATGGCGTATGGGATCGTACATAAATGACGCCACACTCGTAGGGGAGGGGGTAGGCTCCGCAATAATGTGACGATGTGTGACGGGGAGGGGGTTACATATAGTGTGACGTCACACATTTTCATTTAAAAAAAGTTAGGATAGAATCTGTTATTTCGCGTTTTATAAAACTGTTTTAATAAATTGTAATATAAATGTATTTAAATAACCAATGTTATACGAGATATTTTAGAAAAAAAAATCGATATTCAAAAACATTCACTAGTATTTTTGAGTGGCGTTGTAGGTTCTGACATCATTAGAGGGAGGGGGGAGGTGTCTGGCTTTTTGTGATGATGTATGACTGAGGGGGGGGGGCTAAAATAGTCAAAAAAGCGTGACGTCATAATAGGTTTTTGTTGACATTTTTATAACTAATGTATTTTGTTTGAAACACATAGGGACGAGTCACAAGGCGGGGGGGGGGGGGGGGGGGAGAGGGGTGCGGGTTGCACCGGGTGATGATACTATTTAAGGTGTAACACCAAATCGAAAAATCGTAAATTTTACCAGCACAACTGTTTTATACAGCTAAAATAATAAAATGATAGGCGAGAGGGGTGACACCAAACCGAACATGCTAAATCGTTGAGAGGATGGGGGATTGACACCATCATTAAACGGACCTGGTGACACCCGACCTAGTGACGCCAATGCCCCTTGGCATTTGTAATACCACTAGCCTCTACCCTCGTAATGAACGGAATCTAGTTGATAAACACCTTATGTGTAGTTAGATCATACATTGTTTCTTATCATGTAGCGGGATGAATTCTTTGCGAGGTGGGTGGTAGTGTTAAGCTGTTGCTATATCATGTTTGGAAAATAATTGAACATGTGTTTATGAGCATGAGATTCCAACCCCCTCCTCTACTCCCCGCATACCTCAGACATTCAGCAACTTGTAGATCACCACGACCCAACATGCCGACGCCCATATCAATTTTGTAGCTAGGTCACTGTGTCACTGTGTTATCTTTTTTCCATGTTGATATAGACATAACACAAGGATAAGTCGGTGGAGAAAATGGAGAAACTTAGCCTCGATGGACGTGTTGCTATTATAACTGGTAAGTGATTTCATGTTTATGATTGGTGTGTGGTAATTGTTGACCAAATGGAAGAAGGCTAGGTGTGTGGTCAATAGTTGACTAGATGAGTGGCTAGATGTGTGGTCAATAGTTGACCAGATAGATGAGTGGCTAGGTGTGTGGTCAATAGTAGATGAGTGGCTAGGTGTGTGGTCAATAGTTGACCAGATGAGTGGCTAGGTGTGTGGTCAATAGTTGACTAGATGAATGGCTAGGTGTGTTGTCAATAGTTGACTAGATAGATGAGTGGCTAGGTGTGTGGTCAATTGTTGACTAGATGAGTGGCTAGGTGTGTGGTCAATAGTTGACTAGATGAATGGCTAGGTGTGTTGTCAATAGTTGACTAGATAGATGAGTGGCTAGGTGTGTGGTCAATTGTTGACTAGATGAGTGGCTAGGTGTGTGGTCAATAGTTGACCAGATGAGTGGCTAGGTGTGTGGTCAATAGTTGACCAGATAGATGAGTGGCTAGGTGTGTTGTCAATAGTTGACTAGATGAGTTGCTATGTGTGTGGTCAATAGTTGACCAGATAGATGAGTGGCTAGGTGTGTTGTCAATAGTTGACCAGATAGATGAGTGGCTAGGTGTGTGGTCAATAGTTGACTAGATGAGTGGCTAGGTGTGTGGTCAATAGTTGACCAGATGAGTGGCTAGGTGTGTGGTCAATAGTTGACCAGATAGATGAGTGGCTAGGTGTGTTGTCAATAGTTGACTAGATGAGTTGCTATGTGTGTGGTCAATAGTTGACCAGATAGATGAGTGGCTAGGTGTGTTGTCAATAGTTGACCAGATAGATGAGTGGCTAGGTGTGTGGTCAATAGTTGACTAGATGAGTGGCTAGGTGTGTGGTCAATAGTTGACCAGATGAGTGGCTAGGTGTGTGGTCAATAGTTGACCAGATAGATGAGTTGCTAGGTGTGTGGTCAATAGTTGACCAGATAGATGAGTTGCTAGGTGTGTGGTCAATAGTTGACCAGATGAGTGGCTAGGTGTGTGGTCAATAGTTGACCAGATGGATGAGTGGCTAGGTGTGTGGTCAATAGTTGACCAGATGAGTGGCTAGGTGTGTGGTCAATAGTTGACCAGATAGATGAGTGGCTAGGTGTGTGGTCAATAGTTGACCAGATGAGTGGCTAGGTGTGTGGTCAATAGTTGACCAGATGAGTGGCTAGGTGTGTGGTCAATAGTTGACCAGATAGATGAGTGGCTAGGTGTGTGGTCAATAGTTGACCAGATGAGTGGCTAGGTGTGTGGTCAATAGTTGACCAGATAGATGAGTGGCTAGGTGTGTGGTCAATAGTTGACCAGATAGATGAGTTGCTAGGTGTGTGGTCAAAAGTTGACTAGATAGATGAGTGGCTAGGTGTGTGGTCAATAGTTGACCAGATAGATGAGTTGCTAGGTGTGTGGTCAATAGTTGACCAGATAGATGAGTTGCTAGGTGTGTGGTCAATAGTTGACCAGATAGATGAGTGGCTAGGTATGTGGTCAATAGTTGACCAGATGAGTTGCTAGGTGTGTGGTCAATAGTTGACCAGATGAGTTGCTATGTGTGTGGTCAATAGTTGACCAGATAGATGAGTGGCTAGGTGTGTGGTCAATAGTTGACTAGATGGGTGGCTAGGTGTATGGTCAATAATTGACAAAGTGTATAGTAGCTGCAAGTGTGGTACGCTGTTGTCTAGATGAATAAGAGGCTAGATGTGTGATAAGATGCAGATTTTTAATTACATTAGTCAGCCAATTTTGGAGCCCACTAATGCACCCCTCATATACCCCCCCCCTCATTCCTAACGCACTGCAGGGTAAGTTACCCAGTCTCTAGTTCCACCACAGGGTAACCCTAGTTAAATCGACACATGAAACCTAACTAGAAGAAGATTCAATTCAGGTGCTTAAGATATCTTTTAAAATGTTACATTTGTGCATAATTATGCTCTTTTATAAATATAATTAAGAACGTAGATCTAGTAATATATAATCCCTCTAAGCGCAACCGCGCAGTAGTTTTGAACCTACTGCGCAGTCATTTTGTAAAACACACATATCATTGTATACACATTTGAGAATAACTCGCACACAAAATACACGTTGACCACTATCATCTTTCCCTTAGAGGGAACGTTGCATGTAATGCATTGGTTGATTTTAAAGCTAATAATATTAAGACATTTTGACAGGTAGCAGTTCTGGTATAGGGGAAGAAACTGCGTTATTGTTCGCCAAGCGTGGTGCAAGAATTACCCTCCATGGACGGGACGAGAAAAAATTAGCCGCCGTTGAACAGAAAATCAACAACCCGGAGAAGGTGATTATTAAGTTAATTAATTAAAGTGAATAAAAACACTCCGCACTAAAAAAAAATTGTTCTGCAAATAAAATAGAATTGTAAAACGTCTACTAAAAATAGAAATTCACTTCATGACAAATATCGAACACTTGTATTGTTTTTGGAATATCCAGAACTAGTTGGTTTTGATTAGTGCGTTTGCTGGATTAAAAACTCAAAACAGATGTATTGGGCAGAGTGGGCTTAAACTAGCTTTCAAGTTAAAGTGGGGATAATGCTATTTATCCTTGTATAAGGCTTTTAGAACACCGCGCACAAAGAATACACTTTGCACACTAGCTTTTTTTTACCACTTAGAGTGAACTAAGCGTACAATAACATTTGTATAACTACGGATAGAGATTTTCTCAACAATAGTTGTTATGAAAACTTTCGAAAACATTTAGTTGTAAATAATTTTTATTTTACTTGCTCCTCATTGGTTAGTCACATCTACAGATTAAGGTAGAACCGCATATAAACAGTAAACTCTAAAATGAAAGCTTGTCTTGAGAAAAACCTTAAGCTGCGTTTTAGGCCTAACCTAATCTTAACACGTGAATAAAAGTGGCGTCTTTGGTAATTAGTGATTAGTGATTAGATAATAAAGCCTATTAGTATGTGACATATTTTTTTGTTAGTATAATAATAGGTATTTGAGTAAATCACTTTATGTAGTTGTGTAGTTTCTCCACATACCCTGATAGTTGTGTGGTTTCTCTACAGACCCTGATAGTTGTGTGGTTTCTCCACAGACCCTGATAGTTGTGTGGTTTCTCTACAGACCCTGATAGTTGTGTGGTTTCTCCACAGACCCTGATAGTTGTGTGGTTTCTCTACAGACCCTGATAGTTGTGTGGTTTCTCCACAGACCCTGATAGTTGTGTGGTTTCTCCACAGACCCTGATAGTTGTGTGGTTTCTCCACAGACCCTGATAGTTGTGTGGTTTCTCTACAGACCCTGATAGTTGTGTGGTTTCTCCACAGACCCTGATAGTTGTGTGGTTTCTCCACAGACCCTGATAGTTGTGTGGTTTCTCCACAGACCCTGATAGTTGTGTGGTTTCTCCACAGACCGTGCTAGTTGTGTGGTTTCTTGTAGTTGTGTGGTTTCTCCACAAACCCTGATTGTCGTGTGGTTTCTCCACAGACCCTAATAGTTGTGTGGTTTCTCCACAGACCCTGATAGTTGTGTGGTTTCTCCACAGACCCTGATAGTTGTGTGGTTTCTCCACAGACCCTAATAGTTGTGTGGTTTCTCCACAGACCCTGATACTTGTGTGGTTTCTCCACAGACCCTGATAGTTGTGTGGTTTCTCCACAGACCCTGATAGTTGTGTGGTTTCTCCACAGACCCTGATAGTTGTGTGGTTTCTCCACAGACCGTGCTAGTTGTGTGGTTTCTTGTAGTTGTGTGGTTTCTCCACAAACCCTGATTGTCGTGTGGTTTCTCCACAGACCCTAATAGTTGTGTGGTTTCTCCACAGACCCTGATAGTTGTGTGGTTTCTCCACAGACCCTGATAGTTGTGTGGTTTCTCCACAGACCCTAATAGTTGTGTGGTTTCTCCACAGACCCTGATACTTGTGTGGTTTCTCCACAGACCCTGATAGTTGTGTGGTTTCTCCACAGACCCTAATAGTTGTGTGGTTTCTCCACAGACCCTGATAGTTGTGTGGTTTCTCCACAGACCCTGATAGTTGTGTGGTTTCTCCACAGACCCTGATAGTTGTGTGGTTTCTCCACAGACCCTAATAGTTGTGTGGTTTCTTCACAGACCCTGATACTTGTGTGGTTTCTCCATAGACCCTGATAGTTGTGTGGTTTCTCCACAGACCCTGATAGTTGTGTGGTTTCTCCACAGACCCTGATAGTTGTGTGGTTTCTCCACAGACCCTGATAGTGGCAGGGGACATCACCGAGGCAGCGGTCAGACAAAAACTGGTGGACGCGACGGTTGAAAAGTTTGGACGTCTGGACATCCTGGTCAACAATGCGGGGTTCGGACATTTCTCCTTCATCAAGGACCTGACGGAGGAAGCCTTCGACCACTGCCTCAACGCCCTTCTTAAGGCGCCCGTGTTCCTGTGTCAGGCAGCTCTGCCTCACTTGATCCAGTCAAAAGGTGAAAACATGGTCCAAATACCGAAACACGAATTGTGAAAGGTGAAATCATGGTCCAAATACCGAAACACGAATTGTGAAAGGTGAACAAATGGTCCAAATACCGAAACACGAATTGTGAAATGTGAACAAATGGTCCAAATACCGAAACACGAATTGTGAAAGGTGAAAACATGGTCCATATACCGAAACACGAATAGTGAAAGGTGAACACATGGTCCAAATACCGAAACACGAATTGTGAAAGGTGAAAACATGTCCATATACCGAAACACGAATAGTGAAAGGTGAATACATGGTCCAAATACCGAAACACGAATTGTGAAAGGTGAAAACATGGTCCAAATACCGAAACACGAATTGTGATTTTCTGTGGTCTAATTACCGAAACACGAATTGTGAAAGGTGAAAACATGGTCCAAATACCGAAACACGAATTGTGATTTTCTGTGGTCTGATTACCGAAATACGATTTGTGGTTTTCTGTGGTATAATCACCAAAATAACGGTAATTTCTTAAGGCCCAATTACCGAAACACGAATTGTAAATTTAACCGATAAACGATTTGTGATATTCTGTGGCTGAATCACCGAAACACGAATTGTAGTTGTTGGTTGTTAAACACGATCCTTTTTTTCACTTGTTTACCGAAATACAAATGCGATTTTAATTTTGTGAAGTTAGGAAAACAAAATGGCTATTTTCTGCGGTATAGTAATCAATACACGGTTGTTTCTTTTTAAATATTATATTATCTGAGGTGTGATTTTCGAACTATGAATGTTATGTTATTTAAAGTATTTTTATCGAACAATGAATGTAGCATTATTTAAGTACTAAACATACCATAAATGTGGTGTGTGAGGTAAAAAAAACTAGTTTTAATATGTGGTGTGACGTAAACAATAGCGCGTCTGAATATTTGGTGTTTGATATAAAAAATAGAGCGTTTGAAAATGTGGTTAGTGACGTATGGTACGAGATACAAAGTGCGTATGTGATATTAAACTTGAATGATTTTATATTGGTATGAGCATTTGTCGCGTATGAATTAAAACAGAACATAGAACAATGACTATCGCGACTTAAAATTTCATTAGCATGTTGTAATATTTTATTGCAATTTTTCCTACAGGGAACATTGTGAACGTCAGCACCTGCCTTACGACGGAGCCGGTAAGGAAGACATTTTTTAGCCTCAATTATTAGTTAAATGGAAATTTAACTCTTTTAAACTTAATGTCCAGACTTGATTTCCAAAGCTAGAAAATCCAAAAAGTCGATAAAACTATGGAACCATTTACTTATTTATTGTTAAGTTAAATGTGAAAAGCCCAACTAATAAAAGTTAAAGTTATCCGTGCATTGTAACATGGCATCTTTGGGGTGGGGGGGGGGGGTGTCTAATGACACCCTAAAGAGAGTGGTTATTTGATCCTTATCACAAGTCAGATGGGCACTGTTACACCACCATAACACGTTGTGGCGTCAATAGGTCGGGTGTCACCCGGTGCGGTAACTGAGAGTGTCACCCCCACATCTCCAACAAATATGTTTTTTATTGGTTTGGTGTCACCCCCCCCCCCACTACTTTACTATGTGTTTATCGGAACTGGATAAAACACTGTTTAGGTGGTAAATGTTACGATATTTCGTCCTGATAATACCCCTTAGCTGGTGTAGCCCGTTACCGCCTTGTAACGCCACTGATCACATGAAAGATTATGATCATGAATGTGTGAAAATTCGTGAATGTGATTTTATCAAGGATAAAAGATACTCTTTTGACTGACCACTGATACCTTACCCTCTGATCTACTTTTACAGAATCCAGGTATGTTCGCATACGCCGCGGCCAAGACTGGACTAGAATATTTCTCCAAGTCTGCTGCTGTGGGTGAGTGAACTTTGTACAAGTATATTGCATTAAAATGTCATTTAAATCTACTCCAATATATATATATATATATATATATATATATATATATATATATATATATATATATATATATATATATATATATATATATATATATATATATACCCCAGTATAAAAATGAATAAAAATATGTATGCATGTATATGTATACTACAAATATATGTAAGTTTTTTATGTAAGTATATATTCTAAACTAAATGCAAGTTTGTTTCGTTTTACAAGCACAAAATTAAGGCAGTAAAACATGCTACCGTCAGATAATCAAACCAGGTCAAGATCTATTCAGTCTAATACATTATAAATCTGTTTACGAACTCTAATTTTACAGTTCCGGTGCTCTAAGTTTCCCTTTCGAACCTGACGGTCTATGGGGCAAGTGAAGTAGATTTCACCTGTTTCTGTGACCTCGGCATATGAAGAGATAGTGTGGTTATCACTATGCCCAGCCGCCTTTACTTTCCCTAACGTGAGTTAGGTACCCATCAGGTGCTCTGCTACAGCTAAAAAGCGTGACTCTGGCATCTTACGAAACAAAATAGATCTAGTGATTTCTACATTGTTCTCATGTAGTTAAAATCTTTTTTTTAATTTGTGCTCGTGTTTTCCACAGAGTTCCAGCAGCTTGGTGTTCGTGTCAACACAGTGACGTGAGTAGACTTTTGAGTCCCTATGTTGTTTTTCTATTTATAGTTTCACATACCGGTGCAGTGGTTTCCACACTTTTTTTCAATAACCTCGGCATGTGTGTGTGTGTGGGGGGGGGGGGGGGGGGTTAGGCCAGAACTATGCCCAGCCGCCTTGTTTTCCTTAACCTGTGTCAGGTGCCCATCTGGGCTAGGTGGACTATTGGCGTTCTACAGGTTTGTTCTCTAGATTCGAACTCAAGACTTTCGGGCTTGCAGTTGTAAGCTCTACCATTCGACCACGCCGTCCCACCTTCGTTTTTTTAATAAATAGATGTTACATATCAGTGAAACCTTCCGCGCATCTCTTAGCACTGGTCATCATCCCAATCGGGACTCGCATGTCTAAGTTTGTCTTTGTTGATGTGCTGTCAGTATGATGGACATTTGTCTGTAGAAATCTTTGCCTCGTGTGATACACAACAGTAAGGAATAATATTTGATTCGCTGTTACAACACATCAACTAGCTCATCAATACACGCTACCAACGCCTTTGTACGTGGTTAATTTTAGCTACAACACATCAACTAGCCCCATCAAATTATTGATGTATGAAAAGTTATTTGCAAAATCGTATTATTCATGTATTTGCAGTTACGTATTTGATTCATTAACGCTTTCTCAAAAATAGATTCAATCCAGCTTCGAAACACACAAAAAAGTAAACTATTTTTATGCAATGATTTATTTTCTTGATGCACACAAGTATCAATTTAGTGCCAGCTCATGACTGTAAGAAGTAAAATTACAGATGCAAAAATAATCCAAACAATGTAATGTTTAAAATATGATAAAATAACAGATTAATAAAATAAAGTAGAGGATTTTGAAATTTGATTTTTTTAAAATCACAGACCAGGCGTAATTGTGACTCCAATCTTTGATAAGTTGTTTCCATCTGAAGATATTCGAAAACAGGTTAGTCAAAAACATTAAAAAATAATAAGTGGGTTATAATTTTTAATTAAAAAAAAATTTTGATGATGTAGACAAAATTCATCATTAGATTATTATCACATATCGTTTTGGAGAAATACTGTTCTTATATGATTGTTAACTGCTAAGTTTTATTGTCATCTTTACTGTTGTTTGAATGATGTTCTTAACTACGAGAAATAAAAAAAAAAAAAAATTGTTTTTGTTTCTCGTAGTTTCTTTTAAATACTTAGATAACTTTAAACATTTAATAGCGTGGGTTTATTCTTTTATTCTTTGTGTTTTAAGAAGATTTCGACCGTCTTCAGTTTCTTCCAGGCATCTCTACCCCCCCCCCCCCCCTCAAGAAAGTCTACCGCCCCTCCCCCCCCCCCCCCGCGAACGGAATGGAATTAATATAAAAAACATATACTTTTACCAGTGTCCCTCCCCCCAGAAAATGTTGTCCGCCACCCCACCCCGAAAATATCAAGTGCCCTCCCCCCTCTTCTCCGGAGAAAAAAGTCAGGAAGAAACACTGTTCGTCGTGCAAACTGTTGAGTGTTTGTGAAATGAGTGTTTGTGAATTTCTGTAGACGATGAATCAATACGTCAACAAAACGCTGCTGGGCAGAAACGGACAGCCGCAAGAAGTGGCCGAGGCTATCGCATTCCTGGCGTCAGACGCGGCGAGTTTCATGACGGCTTCTGACGTCATTGTAGACGGTGGACGTCACGTTTTCTACCACAGCGGGGAGAAGGCCCAGATGCCGAGTTATGATGACGTCATGCTGAAAAATGGATATTAACAAATGGACGATGACGTAAACAGAACAAATATCGTATCAAAGGTGAAATGTACAACTTTTTCTTTTGCACTTTATTTAAATTAGTTGAAAAAAGACATATTATAATACTTTGAGTCGGCATCTGTTGTTATTATTCCAAACCCTTGACCGAACCCTTGACCAAACCCTTGTTCAAACCCCAGACCAAACTTTTGACCAAACCCTTGACCAAATCCTTGACCAAACCCTTGACCAAACCTTTGTTTAAACCCCAGACCGAACTTTTGACCAAACCCTTGACCAAATCCTTGACCAAACCCTTGACCAAACCCTTGTTCAAACCCCAGACCAAACTCTTGACCAAATCCTTGACCTAATCCTTGACCAAACCCTTGACCAAACCCTTGTTTAAACCCCAGACCGAACTTTTGACCAAACCCTTGACCAAATCCTTGACCAAACCCTTGACCAAACCCTTGTTCAAACCCCAGACCAAACTCTTGACCAAACCCTTGACCTAATCCTTGACCAAACTCTTGACTAAATGCTCGTCCAAATCTATGACAAAATCCTTAACCAAATTCTCGAACAAATTCTTAACCAAAACCATGACCAAATCCTTAACCAAAACCATGACCAAATCCTTGATCAAACCCTAAAACTGAGATGAGCCTAACAAAAAAAAAATTAAAAAAGAAGAAACCTGAAATGCCAAATTTACTTCTATTGTAATATTCCCTTATTTTATTGAAAAAGTGCTTGCCACATAGCTTGAAGACGACGAGTAAATTTCATGTTTTCTTTCTATTCGTAGCTATTTGATGATGTTTTGTTTTATTTTTACAAAAATTGCTGATGTATTGCATGTGTGTATGTGAATGTAAAATTGTCATTTATATAGTGAGTTTTAAAATTGTCGTTTAATTACTTTTGTAATGTAGTAGGTCCTATATGAGTATTACATTTTCATTTTATTGATTTCTTTATGTAATATTCGAGTTTAAAATTGTGTTTTAATACTCTTATTTCTTTATGTAGGGCTAGTATGTGAGTGTAAAGTTTATATAATTTAAACATAATTAACGGAGAGACTAATTATAAATTTTTCGTTTCTTTTCAGGCGAAAAGCTAATAAAAAATACCGAGCAAATTTTAGAAATTTTCAAATATTGTATCAAAGTTAAATAAAATATCACGTTCAGTGGTTTTAAGAGTTTGTCTTTAGTAAATTTAGTTTTATCCTTCTATTGATTATTTTTATTACTTGAGGTTAGTTTTGTAACTAAAGAAATATAAAAAAAAAACTAATAACAGAGAATGGTGGAAGAATTCTTAAAAGAAATAAGAGAAATTAGAAAAAAAACAACACTTTCTTTCTTAATGGCTTATGGCTTTTGAAGTTATCCTTTACGAATTATTTTGCATTAGTTATTGATTATCTTTCTTCGTTTCTGTGACATTTTGTGTTTTTAGGATTAGAATACAAAAAAAAAAAAAAAAAAAAAAAAAAAAAAAAAACAATTTTTCACGTTTTTGAGATATTCACTTTATCGTATATATAGACCACCCACTTCTAATATAAAATAACATTTCTTTGGACTATCCCCCCAGCAAACCACATTACAATATACAACTAAAAATACATAATTTAAAATTAAATTTCATACTGTTTAGGTCTCATTTAAATTCATAAATAATCAGGACCTGCTATAAACTTCAATGTTTCTAATAATTATTCAAATAAATTAGCAAAACAAAAAACTTAACGCCTAGAAAATTAAACATCCAGATGCCTATTGTCCGAATTCAATAGACGTAATCAAGCAGATTTTGAATTGGAGAATGCCGTTATCGCGTAAAAACAATACATTGTCATCTTTCGTCCGCATCAACTTTGATGGTGATGACAGCAACTGAATTCATTAAAAAAAAGTCAAGAAAATCTGCAAACGGTTTTGCATTGGAAATGTCGCTACCTCGTAAAAAAAAAAAACACATTTTCGTGATGACAGCAATTAAGTTGATTTTAATATTCTGTTTTTTTTAAAATCTAAAACTGGTCAGAATCAAAGCAATTATTTAATCACCGCTGTTTGAAAAAAAAAATCTAAAATCTATTTACATACTTTGCTTCAAAATTTCGAAAACTTGATAAAATGTTAAGGACTCATAATTACGTCGTATTGCAAATATGTCCTGAAAAATTACTTATATTGTTTTTTAGAATTTTTTGTTTGGTTTAGAATGGAGTTTCTTTTATTAAAAAAGTTAAATAACCAGCGATTTGAAAATTGACACACTTAAGAATTAAGAAAGTTAATTAAAAAAACAAATTAGCTTCTAATTCAATCAACTTACATCTGTATACTGTATACTGTATACTATACACATTATTTTAATTAAATCAGTAAACACCTCGTTATTTCTAGCAACTATAAAACCTAGCTAAAGTTATCAAAAAGGAAACTGTAAAAACTAATCATGTTTTGTTTGGTGGTCGTCTGCATGCTCTTTGTCAGCGTCGCATCCGGGGTCTACGTCAACAGCTACGACGGGCCATTCGACTTCCTGTGTCCTCCCAATCAGGCCATCAGTTACGGGGCCAGCGTCCACGACAACTACTACGAGGAGTGAGTTGTTGTATTGGACCACGTACATTGGTTTTGGTGAGTTGTTGTATAGGGACCACGTACTCTGGTGAGTTGTTGTATAGGGACCACGTACTCTGGTGAGTTGTTGTATAGGGATCATGTACTCTGGTGAGTTGTTGTATAGGGATCATGTACTCTGTTTTTGGTGAGTTGTTGTATAGGGATCATGTACTCTGTTTTTGGTGAGTTGTTGTATAGGGATCATGTATTCTGTTTTTGGTGAGTTGTTGTATAACGATCATGTACTCTGGTGAGTTGTTGTATAGGGATCATGTACTCTGGTGAGTTGTTGTATAGGGATCATGTACTCTGTTTTTGGTGAGTTGTTGTATAGGGATCATGTACTCTGTTTTTGGTGAGTTGTTGTATTGGACCACGTACTCTGGTGAGTTGTTGTATAACGATCACGTACTCTGGTGAGTTGTTGTATAGGGACCACGTACTCTGGTGAGTTGTTGTATAGGGATCATGTACTCTGGTGAGTTGTTGTATAGGGATCATGTACTCTGTTTTTGGTGAGTTGTTGTATAGGGATCATGTACTCTGTTTTTGGTGAGTTGTTGTATAGGGATCATGTATTCTGTTTTTGGTGAGTTGTTGTATAACGATCATGTACTCTGGTGAGTTGTTGTATAGGGATCATGTACTCTGGTGAGTTGTTGTATAGGGATCATGTACTCTGTTTTTGGTGAGTTGTTGTATAGGGATCATGTACTCTGGTGAGTTGTTGTATAGGGATCATGTACTCTGGTGAGTTGTTGTATAGGGATCATGTACTCTGGTTTTGGTGAGTTGTTGTATAGGGATCACGTACTCTGGTAGTGATGACAAACACACACACAAACATACATTGCTTTTTATATATATAGATTACAACTCTGTCTAATAAAGTGATGAAAGATTAGCATTTGTCTAATTAGCCCCCCCCCCCCCCCGAAAAATTTTCACCGCCCCCCCCCCCAACGAAATGAAATTTATATAATTTATATAGAAAATATATACTTTTAACAGTGTCCGCCCCCCCCCCCCGAAGAAAGTCTACCGCCCCCCCCCCCCCGAAAATTTCAAGTGCCCACCTGGAGAAAAAAGTCTGGAAGAAACACTGGTTCGAATCCGGGTCCAAGTCAGTAGTACGTCCCTGTATCCACCCAACTCTGATGGGTGCCTAACTCATGTTTAATAGGGAAAGTAAAGCTGGCTGGGCAAAGTGCTGACCACACCTTCCCTTTTAATGCCTAGGTCAAAAACTCCATGAACACTATTTCATCTGCCTCGTGGATTTCTAGGCTTAAAATAGGATTCTTTACTTTTTAAAATAGCCATAGAATATTTGTTTTCTGCAAATAATTGACGTACAACAAAATCTGAATATAAATTGTATGTTATACAAATTAAATAATTAAACCAGTCGGTATATCGCCAATGGACTCGTAACGAATTTTCATTGTTTATTTATATACGAGTAAACAAAATATTTGAGAGAAAAAAACATAGTTCTTTAAAATTGTGTTAACGAATGTTGGTGAATTTTAAGCAATGGCCAACTTTACTAAATGATCTTTCTCTGAAATCGATTTGAAGAAAAAAATTTCAGATCTATTTTTCTGTAAAATCTATCTTTCTTAAATCGGCATTACCCTTAAGACAATCTTTCTCTGAATTGGATGACAATTCACATTCCTTTAAAAAGGATCTGATTATATTAAAAAGTATGTTTTTTAATTTCCCTCAGTTTTATTACTTTCCTTGCTATCATTGCCAATTACCGTAAAATCGCTCAAAAGTTGATTGATATGGAACTACAAATTTGATGTAATACTTGTATACGAAATTACCTTAACATAACTAAAATAACACTCATATTATCGTGTTCAGAGACACACACATAAAGACACACTGACAAACACACAGAAAAAACTACGTTTTTTCACGATTACAATACTTTCTCTATGCTTCGTATTCGATAAAGTAAGAAAAAAAACAACAACAACAAAAAACAGCATGTGTAGAGTCATAGAAACATATGCCGTTTTACATCTCGGATACGTGTTGAACGTGTCACACATGTGTCTACAGACATCCCCATAAAAAAAAGTCAACATATAAAAAACACATTCGTTTCGCTTCAGTAAGTTTATTTAAATAACACGACCTCGATGTTTGAAATGTGCAAGCAGCAAGTCTGCGTTACACGCCAACTCAGAGGCGTAGCGAGGGGGGGGGGTGGGTGCGAACCGCACCGGGTGACACCATTGGGGGGGGGGGGGTGACGCCAAGGCAAAAAATAGCAAAAATGTATAGAGAAAAACTTGAGGGGGGAGGTGCAAATCGAAAGTTTTGAAAGTTTGTCCCCGGAAAGAGGGTTCGCTACGCCTCTGGGGGGTGGACACCATTAAGTGCCGCACCGGGTGACACCCGACCTCGCTACGCCACTGCGCCAACTAAAGATTTTATGGAAGTTATTGTCTTTTTTTCAACATACTTTTTTTTGCTATTTAAATGCAAGTGAAGGAATCTAAGTATGGTAAAATAGAAGTGAATTCAGGGCTATTTAATTCCTTTATATTCTTGCGCCCTGTAGATTCTATGGTCTAAGAAAAATTAAATTTCTTCTACTAAGTTATTTCATAACCATTGAACACTTTTTGGTTTTAAATATTTATAAAAAAAGTATTAAATATTAAAATAAAATAAAAAATTGAAAAAAAAATTGTTTTAACACCATGTCTTTACCGTCCTCAGAGGCGTAGAGACCCCCCTTCCGGCGCCCCGGGGACAAGCTTTCAATTTGGCACTTCCCCTTCCCCCCCCCCCCCCGATATATTTTTTTATATTTATAATTCAAAATAGCAGATAAAATGAGCTTATTTTGACGCCACCTAAGGTCGCCGCCCGGTGACATATGTACCCACCCGTCGCTACGCATCTGAACGTCCTAGGTACACATTAAAACTAATTGCCTTAACGTTTGCAGACATTTACCATTAAACGAATTTAACTTTTTAAAAACCCTTCGTTTGGCTACAATAAGAGTATTCTAATAAAGGAGCCATGATGTATGAAAAGTGCATGCAGCAAGCCTACGTTACATGCCAACTAAATATTTTATGAAAGTTTTCTTTTCATTTTTCAACATAATTGTTTGCTATTTTTTAAGTAGTAGATTCACAGTGTCCGTTAAATAGCAGTGAACTCAGGCCCATTGCATTAATTGTACATTCTTATTCCATATCAACTCAACGTTTTTTGGCTTGAATATTAAAACTTCTTTAAAAAAAACCCAATAAAAACTAGATAAAATAAAAAAAAAACAATTTCAAAAACAAAAACAAGGAAAAAACACAGCACATGGCGTTACAAAAAAAAAAAAGAAAAAAAAAAGTCAGATGTTTTACACGTCTTTTAACTTGCTGTGCATTTCTTTAACCTTTCAAGTTACTGGTTGAACTTGCTGCACTTTTGTTTACACACATTTACCATTTGACTAACATAAACCTTTTTTTAAAAAAAAAACCCCATAGAATTGTACAAGTAACAAGCCTAAGTTACATGTC